CTGGCTTCAACAAAGAGCAAAATGTTACAAGGTTCCTGACCTCCTGGGGCTTGTATTTTAACTGTGGCTGCTAATAAAGATGAGTTCCTGTCACCCAGATTTAACAGGCTGAGATCTTGGGACTGAGTTTATGAGCTAGTTCTTATGTCCGCAAACCAAAAACTGAGAGCAGTCCGTCCAGGTCCTGAATGTCTCTCTGAGGTTGCTGTAAGTCTGAACACAAAGGGTGCCAGTGCTACCTAGAGTCTGACCACTGAGGAACTGCAGCCGTGCCAAAGCCTGAGTTTCAGGCGCTCAAATATGCAGATCCAGAAACTCTGCACTTAAGAATTCTCTGTTCTACTGTCTTAAGTCCAGCTTAAGTCAACCCTAAAGGAAAACCACTCAATCCTAAAGGAAATCAGTCCTGAGTATTCATTGGCAAGACTGATGCTGAGGCTGAAACTTCAACACTTTGGCCACTTGATGTGAAGAACTGACTCGTTGGAAAAGACCCTGATGCTGGGAAAGATTGAGGGCAGGAGGAGAAGGGGACGACAGAGGATGAAATGCTTGGATGGCATCACTGACTCAATGGACATGAGTTTGAGCTAGCTCTGGGAATTGGTGATGGACAGGGAAAGCATGGCATGCCATAGTCTATGGGGTTGCAAAGAGTCAGACATGACTGAGCGACTGAATGAAGTCCAGCTTACAGCTGGTCTCTGAGTAGCAGCAAGAGCCTAGCCTCCTCATGGAGGACAAGATTGACACCACAATCCAATGTCTGTGATGCTGAACTGTTCACAGCTGTGTGTTACAAGCTCAGGTCCTCAATCCTCTGTCATTTACCAGTTATGGAAATTAACCAAAGCTCTCCAGGTCTCAATGTCTCATCATAAAACCATAACAACCACCACGGTCCTTGCTGCATATGGGGCATTACAAGCAACCAAATGTAAGGCATGTGAAGTGCTTAGCACAAAGCCTGGCCATAGTAATCATCTAACAGTAGTAGCTATGACTGCTTTTTCCCTCTAAGTAGGTGTTGGCCTTTTTAAATACCTCCCTGCATAGCATATGTGTGTATAGGGGTAAAACTCACCATCTAGTCTATAGACTGCAAAGTGGCCAGACAAGATCATAACAGAAACTAAAGGGGAAATAAACATCACAGGAAGACTGTGGATTTTGAGGTCAACAAGGCTGCACTGCCGAGTGGCCCTGGGACATCACTTCTGCACGCAGTAGCTAGAAGCATCTTGGGTTACTGTCTGTTGGAGAGCATGCAAGTGTTTTGTGGTTGTCTGCATGACAGATAACTTATGTCAGGCTTTGGAATTATGTGAGTGTGCAGGAAGGGGGTGTGTCTCCATACAAGTAGTAGAATGAAATAGAACAGTCATCTCATTGGCCAACACAATAAGAAAACACACTACCCTCAGTGTCTACAGAGGCCACCATGTTTAAACCACAAGCAACCCCAGGACCCAACCACAGTGGCCAAATAATCTGGACCAATCAGATTTCAAAACTCAGGTACACACACTTTTCTATCAATGTATTGGTATGCCAAGGGTGGCAGGAGTTCATAGATGAGAGGAAGTTAACACACATAGTTTAAAACATTCATTTTTATGTTAATCCAAGCACACGGATATGTTACGGAATAGAATGAAAAAAAAAATCACATCAAGTTTTAAAACAGACTTCAAGGGGTGTATCCTAGGGGAAGCTGGTTGCTGCCTCTAATTAGGGGACTTTGAAGGCAAAGTTTGAGAAGCACTAGGGTGGTGGAGTGAATACAGAAGTAGATATTGCAAGACCCGGGTTTAAGCTGGAGGTTCTGATGCTTGCTTCGTGTGTTATCTTGAGCAAGTTGCTTTAGTGATCTCAAGCTTCCTCATCAGGTAAATGGGACAGTTCCTCAGAGGAGCAACCATAGACTTGATGAGGGGCTCAAAAGAAGTAATACATGAGGAACTGCATATAAATATTGATTAGGATTATTAGAGAGGGTCTACAGAATTGGGCTGCCTGGGCACGTTTGCAGGCTGGAGCTAATCTGCCATAGTTGTGAAAGGGGATTCAAAGTTGGAGGCAAGACCGAAAAAAATCATGGCCCAGTGTGTGAACGGCTGAGAACACACTCATTGCAGAAGCACCTCGTGAATGAATCCTTAGCCAGGGAAGCTGAAGGCAAGAGAATCAGCTCACAAGAGATCAGGAGAGAACCTAGACATGAGAAAACACAACCCAGTCATTGCCGTCACTTTCCTACCCACGGGTGACTGAAGATGGAAAATGAGAGAGTCATCCGGGGGGGGCAGGAAAAGGCAAGCCAATCTACACTCGTGCCTCGCTGCCTATGGGTTACTGCTACAATGCTGTGTCTGCTCTGGGGGAACCACTGTTAGAATCAACTGAGGCTCCCTCTAGAGTGTTTTTTCAAGTTTCGTCTCCTGTCTTAGGCGCCTTGTAATTCAGCATGCCTTTTCCACAACACATTGAAAACCTGAAAATAAAATGCAGAACAAATGCAACCCAAATGACATCATTGTTCTGAGCGACAACTAGGGGCACACTGATCTCATAACCCCATTAAATGGGGTTGCCACCTGCTATTGTCCTTTCAATGGTAGAATCAGTGGCGCCCAGCACAGAGCATTGCCTGCACTAGCAGGCATCAAACAAATATCTGTTAAAGTATCTTATCTGCCTATTTAATAGGTTATAAAACTGTCAGCTTTTTCATCAAAACTACTGCCTTCCCCCACTTCCCATTCAAAGTCTCTCTTGAAATTCAATTCCATTAAGGCTTTTTAATACATACGAGCAGCAAGAAATTTACTTACATTTTTTTTTTAAAAAAGGCAAAACTCCAAGTTCCCACCTGGGCAGCCCTGACAAGCTATTGTTTGAACTGGAGTACATTATTTAACTTGGATGACAAGCTCAGGAGGTAGAGACCCTGTCTTTCAGAAACTGCAGCTCTGAGCACACTGGGAGCTCTGGATATATAACAGCAGCAAGACATGCTGTGGAGGGACCTAGTTTAACTATTTATTTTTCCAATTCCAGATTTTTGGCAACCTGTGTTTACCCCTTGCTTGATTTCTAAGGGGCAGCCACCTCCCAGGAGTGCCCCCCAAAGATGGATAAGCAGCTCTCTGACTTTTCCTTCCCCTCATCCCAGCGCAAGTAGGAACACCTGATTGAGCCAAAAACGTGGATTCTGAGTGCGTTAAGGGTGCCTGCTGGGTTTGGAAGGGAACTAAGTCCTCCAGGACTCAATGGGTAGAGTGAGGCAGTCAAGAGAAATGTTTTGGCGCCCACACATCTACACAGCTGTCAGATGGCGGAGCTTGGACTTCCACTGTTATCACCTGCTGCGGGCCCGGAGCTGTCTTGTCATTAACCCTGGAGAACAAGTATGCCTAAAGCCGGACAGTAAGTGCTGTGTGGGGGTACTTTCAAGTCTTTCAACAGAGAAGTCAAAGGTGAATATTTTTTTGCCAAACTTGAACTCATAAGGATCTCATAAAGACAGATATTAAATATTATAATTGTATAGCCAGATGAAGTCATTTAGGGAGTATTACACGTTATTTACCTTTTAAAATAATTATAGCAGTAACTAAATGAAGACATTACCTGTGCCCCAGGACACAAGTAGCCGGCAAGGAGGAGAAAGCAAATGACCATTCTAAGGGGCCTTACAAAAGACCTGTTCTTTTTTATTCTTTCTGGGTAATAGGGCTAATATTTGGTAAGATGGGTTCTGCCTGGGTGAGGGTGGGAGGGTTTTTCCACACACTTCTCAACAGACCTTAGCGCCAACGTCCGCTCTATGCTTACACAACAAATGTATCAACACAACACGTTTGTCCAAGTGAAGACTTCTCGCCTTGCTCTCTGACGCATTTTATACCAAAACAATGGCAACACCTGTAGCCGTTAATTTCTGCTCTTTGATTTCTGTCCAGTTATAAAGGAGGCGCTCAGCAGGCTCCCCTCTCAGGAGCCATATGTGGAGCTGATGTGCCAGCAGCCTTGGAAGGAAAAGGGCCTCGGAGAAGTGCACAATGGCTCCATAATCCCCATCAACTGGACCCTCTTGAACCGCGGCTTTCTTTCCCAGTCAAAGAAACGCCAGTTTCAAGAGTCAAGCTGTGGCTGCCTTGGGAACCCTGGGGGAGGTTGCGGGGCGGGGGGGCTGTGGTGGAAAACTCTGCCATTTGCCTGGGTGGGTGGTGCCCGAGCCCCGCCATCCAGTCAGGCAATCTGGAGCCCAGAAACTGCCTGTGGCACCCCCAACACTTTCTCTCGCCCTCCCCTCTAGGGTGAGGCGTTTTACCCACAAAGCCACCTCCGCCGGCCCAGCCTCTCCCCCGAGCCCAGACCACAGCGCACACCCTCAGCAGAGCCGCAGCCCCGCCCCCTTGCACCGGGTCGCGCTGAGGGGTCTGTTCCCCCAAGCCCGAGCCTCTGTTCCAGCCGAGCGCTGACCGCTGTTGAGCAGACCAACTCTTCAGACCACATCACACGGGTGACGGGGGGTGGGCACAAAGACTGGGGTGTGGCAAGTCCTTTAGGTTCCACGGCTTCTCAGCCCAGGGCACTGCGTTTGGTAACCCTGGTGAAGACAAGGGTCAAAGCCACAGGCCAACCTGGACCACACACCGGGGGAAGCGATTAGGGGAGGGCAGGGGAGCTGCTTGAGGAGGCTCAGACCCAAACAAGCGCCCCTGTTTGGATAGGCAGGGATGGCAATGGGATGCAGTTAGCGGAGTTTTGAGCTTAACTCCTACCCTCTCCACCTCCCCCCTTTCTTTTACACTCCCTCGGGGACCTCTGGACGTGCTTTAGAGTAGCCCGAGGTACCAGGACGGCCGACGGGCGGCCACAGGGCCGCGTAAATCCGAGACCTGGAAAACGTCAACCCTCTCTGCCTGAGGCTCTGCCTCGCCCGCAGCTCCGCCAGGGGAGCGCTGCCCTCCCCAGGAAGGGGCAGGACTTACGCAGTTGTTCTCGTTATTATCGATCTCGAAGTCCCAGCGGCAGATCTTGGTGCGCGCCTGGATCTCACTCATCCTGAAGAGGCAGAGTGCGGTGGTGGTGGGCGAGCGCTTCTCCTGGTCCTCTCCAGTGGCTGCGCTGAACACGCCCGCCCAGACGTCCAGGGCCTCCACCAGGCTGGAGGAGAGCAGCAGGCGGCGGCCGTCTGGGTGGCCGTGGCCGCAGTGGAGGGCCGCCTGGCCCTGGAACAGGAGCATCTCGGAGCTCTTGGCGATGCGCGCCATGCTGGGCCAGCCGGTAGCGGCGCCTCTCGAGTAGTTGTAGGGGTAGTAGGGGAAGTAGACGCTGCCGTTCCAGAGAAAAGCGTCCACAAAGTGCAGGCTACCCCCGCCGTCGCGCAGCTTGAGGCGTCCCGTCTCCTTCGTGGCCAGGCTGCGCTTCCCCGTGTCCTTGAGCGCGATGGCCGTTTCGCGGTCGGACGCCGCGGGGTTGCAGCGGCTCGCCGTCTCCGACTCGGGCAGCACATAGGTGGCGGCCACCGCCAGGTACCAGCTCTGGGTGTCGTTCGCGTAGTACACCACGCCGGCCGTCGAGCCCTGCGGGTGACAGGACACCACTTCGGTGCCGTTGCGAAGAGAGCTGCGGCTCAGATTGCCCAGGGGTCGCACCTCGCAGGCGCCCCGGTCGAAGGTCCAGCCGGTGAGCAGCAGCCCCTCGAGGCCGGCCGCCCCCTCGCGGTAGGGCAGCAGCAGCTTGCTGAAGCTGCTGCCCGGCCGGGGCCGCGCGGGGGGCGTCAGCGGGACGGGCTCCGAGCAGTTGCCCGCTTGGTCCCGGTATAGGCGCGAGAGCCTGTGCTCCAGGCTGTAGTCCAGCTGGTCTAGGCAGCTGCCGCTCGCCACGAACACGCCGTCCTCCCGGCTCACCGCGATGGCTCCGATAGCTTGCTCCGACCGCCACACGGGCTCGTCCGCGCCCCGGGCGGGCGCCGCGAGCGCCAGCAGATAGGCAAGCAGGGGCAGCAGCCCGGCAGGGCGCGGGGGGCGCAGCGGTGCCTTCCTCCGGGAGACCTCCATGGGGCTGTGGCGTGGGGGGGGGCGCCCCCGGGATGGCTGCTCTCGGCCGGGACTCTCGGCCGGGACTCAGGACCGGACCCGCTGCGCGGCGGCGAGGACGTGCGGGAAGCAGGAAGCAGCTGTCGGCGAGGCCCATCCCCGCGGCTCGCCGGGGAAGGAGAGCGGGGAGGGCGGCGCGCGGCGGGCTCGTTCCGGCAGCCTGTGCAGCGGCGGCGGCGGCGGCAAGCCCTGCGCGCTCCGGCGCCTCTTCCTCCGGGCCCTCCTTCTCCGGAGAGTTCCTCTGTGCAATGCTGGCGCTCGAGGGGAGGCGCGGAGGGGAAGGGAGGGGACGGGCGGAGGGGAGCGAGGCAGGCGGGGAGGGCTGGAGAGGTTGGGTGCGCTTGTGCGTTTCACTTTCCCATTGTGAAAGTGGGATGCAACTGGCCCCCTTCCTCATCCTCTTCCTCCTCCGCCCTCCGCCTCCTGGCCGCCCGCCCTCCCTCCACGCCCATCTCCCCTCCCCTCTTGATTCGGAGAGATAGGGAGGAGGGAGGTCTCGTAATTTGGGTTACTGTGTAGGTGGCCTCTTTCATCTATTCATAACAAAGCTGAGCCGCCTGCCGCCGCCGCCGCCACCATAGCCCCTTAGCTCGCTCGGGGCTCCCGGGGCGCGCTAACAGCGCACCAGGCTGGCTCCGGCGCCTGTCCGCCCTCGGGGCTGCTCCAACGCTCGGGTTTTGTTTACGAGAGCGGCGGGGAGAGATGCGCAAGGCTCGGGGAACTAGGACCCAGGCCGCCAAAGGGTTGCAGCTGAGGCCCGGGGCTCGGGCCACTGGGAGGCTGCGAGGGCGGCTGACAGGTGTGGAGCGGCGGGAGGGAGGCCCTGGGGAGGAGCGCGAGAGAGGGAAATACTGACAAGCCCCAGGCGCAAGGAACCAAGGCGCCCCCGTGACAGGCGATGGGTTTCCCCGGGTCAGAGGAGTGAGGTGGAGGAAAGGCAGGCGCCGAGATTCTGGTTCTGGACAATCCCTGGGGCCGGAGCTCCCATACTTGAAGAGGTTCTCTCATTTCCCTTGGCAACGGAGTCCCAGGCTTTCAAACCTAGCACTTAGAAAGTTCTACTCATCATCTAACCTGAATGATCATGGCTAATATTTATTGAGGACGTACTGCGTGCCGGGTCCCGCTTGAAATTCACTACGTGGATTAAATACCCATGACAACCCTATTAGTGACTGTTATCAGCCCCATCTCGTTAGGAGGGGTGGAGACTTTGCGGAACTTGCGGGGGAGGTGGGGGTCCTACTGCTGGCAGACAGCAGAAGTGAGATTCGAATTCCCTTCTGGCTCCAGGGCCGCTTACACCGCCCCCTCTAGCCAAGTCCCACCCGTGGTCTTTACAGAACTACCTGGACAGCGTTCTCAGCAGGTGGGACAGAAAACTTCCCCAAGTTAAATGTTCCCACCTACCTCCCCAGCCCAGCCTTCAGAGTCAAGTACCCTTATTTCCCTAGAGGCGCTCCCTCTGTCTCCTCCTTTCACACTTCTTTCCTTTGGACTCTCTGAGGCCTCACCAACCCACCAAGGCGGCAAATACCAGCTGGGCCGCCCCCCCAAACAACCAAGAACTTCTGGAGCCCAGTGACTATCTGAATCATTGCACACCTGTGTGTAGGTTCATGATTTCTCAGAAGGCAGCCTCGGAGACTGCACAGATACCTCCCAGCCCTGAGGCAGCTGGTAACACCAGCTGCACCTTACCTACCATCTGGCAGGTGATCTGGGGGTGCAGCAGAGGGACCCCGAGAACCCTGTGCACCCCATGAGAGAGGATCTGTGACCCTTTCCAGGCTATTTCCAGACCAGAGGCCGCAGGGAGGGTAACTGGTCACAACCCCTTTCTTCCTTCCCCTCCCAGTTTCCCAGTCCTACAAGAAATCGGTTTGGGGGTGGGGTGGGGTGCCTGGGCTTCGTTTAGATGCTGAGCCCTTCTGAAGGAGCAGCTGTTGCAGGTTTTAAACTTCTACCATAGTGCCCCAAGTTCTTCTCCCCGGTGCTGAGGGATGGGGCAGGAGGAGATTGATCTGGAAGGCTGAAGCAAAGGAGGATAAGGGGAAGCAAGAAGCATAAGAGGAACTGGGGTTTCCAATCTGGACGTGCAGTTAAAGGCTCACATCATTCTGGCAGTAGCTCTCATACTTTGAATTCACAAGTGGTCATCTTTCCATTTGTCCTTCCCTTGTTTGAAATTGGATAACATTATCTTTGCCTGCCAGGAGGCAGCACATGCTTTCCTACAAGCTGTCAGGTCGCTCTTTCTGCTGTGGTGATGGCGGTTGGGGTGCCGGTGAGGAGAGAAGAGGAGCAAGGGAAAGACCTCGAGCTACCAGATCGAGGTGAATCAGGAGATCTTTAGGTGAGGCTAATCAGACGCGCTCTGCTCCAAAATAATCAGGCGTCACTCCCTTCACTGTCTCCCCACCTGAAATGTTTTAAGAATTTTTGCACTGCCGGCAGTGGAAAAAGTGGTGTCTTGGAAGCATCTGCAGTAGCTCATGGAACCCTTCAACAGCATAGGAAGGGGTGTGTGTGCCCATATTTTGACAGTGTTCCCCGTGAATGGTGAAGAAACACAATGATCTTCACTGCCTTCATGAGCTGGCTGTGGCAATGTTGTTATGAGAAGCAACAGTTCAATTCCATTCTGGAGATCGCTTTACTTCACTGGTAACCAAGTAATTTCTCGAAGTCCCGTAGAGTTGGTACAATCAGGAGCAGACCATCTTGGGAGCTATTTGGATTAAACATACTCTGTGGTGCGGCATTTTGATCACTACTCAATTCATTGCTGCCTCGTGTTGAAAAAGAAACATCTTAAAAAACACTACCAGCAAGAAGCGTAAGTGCCTTTGATGGCTATAGTCTCTTGCCATTCTACTGGGATCATAAGCCCCGCTCTTGAGAGCAGGCTTCTTTTCTCTCCCATTTAATTGTATGCAGGCTCCTATGGTGAAAGAAATCAGAATTGGTGCCTATTTTTTGGCCTGAAAAATGTAGAGGACTAGGAAGCATATGAATGTGTTCTTTGCTGATTCTATCCTGTTTGGTACAAACATGTTTGTCCCATTCCAATTTTCCTGTGTGCTAAAGCTCCACCTTCAGGACATAAGTTCACGTTTGAAAACGGTGGGAAACATGAACAACCAAAATAAATATTTAGGCATGTGGATTCTGAATGTTTTTGATCGCTTTCTCTCGGACACTGCTTGGCCAAGGATGTGAATCCCACCGGTGACAAGGTTTCCCTCTCCCAGTGCTGGAGCCCAGCCCACCGGGTATCACGTATTGCACATTCAGAACTCCTTGTAACACAACTGGCTGAAACCCAAAAAAAGGAAGATGGTGCAGATTTATCCTCCAGACAGAGACCTGCTACCACGGAAACAGGCAGTTCAGACCGATTCCGAGCAGTTTTTATTTGTAGCATTGACTAGATGGGAAAGTCTTCATAATGAGAAAATATCAACTCCCCCAGGCACCAAAGGCAATCTGGGTTAACCAGACCATCCACAATCAGACTCATTTCTGCTGGACAGGACTTTATAGATCCCGTGGCTTCCTGCTGAGGTTCAAGACATTAAGAACTGGTCGGCAGGCAATTGGTCACAGTCACAAGATGGCTATCATTGGTGCTTCGGTTTGCCTTCTGACTTAGGAAATTCTGACAGTGGTCTTCGGGAATGACTGGCCCGGCAGAGATGAAAAGCCACTAAGATTATTAGTTCCGGCAGCCAATGAGTTCTCTCTATACCTTATTTACATAGCTACAACCCCCTCGGTGGCATTTGGAAAGCACCACTCAGTGGGTTGAACGGTTCCAGTCATGTCCTTCTAGGACTTAAGACAGCTTTGTTCAAATCTATGTGGTCTTCCACATCAAGGCCCTTATCAGAGCCTCTAGCCCCCTTTGTGACTGACAGGAAAAAGAAATGAGCCAGGCTTCTTTCTAGTCTGCTGATGAGTAGATGGTTGAAAGCAGATAAGATGAAGAGCCATTTAATAAGTTTGAATTGATGCTGAGAGACGAGTTGAATGCAGTTCAATAAACATGGAAAGTCAGTCAAAGGCACAGTTAAGATGTGGTGAAAGAACATTCAATGTAAGGACCGCTGCTGAAGCTCCAATACTTTGACCACCTGATGCAAAAAACAGACTCATTGGAAAAGACCCTGATGCTGGAAAAGATTGAGGGCAGGAGAAGAAGGGGGCGACAGAGGGTGAGAGGGCTGGATGGCATCACCGACTCAGTGGACATGAGTTTGAGCAGAGTCTGGGAAATAGTGAAGGGCAGGGAAGCCTGGTGTGCTGCAGTTCACGGGGTTGTAAAGAGCTGGACAGGATGTAGTGACTGAACAACAATAGAACGTGGTGCCTTGTCTTCCTTGCCCACCCAGCATGGCCCCAGACAATTGCTGAGCATCTTACACTTTGGTGATGATGCCCATGCCTTTGGTTAAAGTGTTGGAGGCTCAGTGGTGTTCCTTCAGTAGGCAGAATTTGGTTTGCTCCCCGCATTACAATTGTTTTTTTGGACATCACATTGTCCTCATGGTCGTTCACCAGCAGAGATACAATTGTAGAGGGGAGAGTGGATTGAATGTACAAGGTAACAATTCTTTACTCCAGGTCCAGTGACTTCCTTTAAACTAAAAGGGGGCCTTCACTCAGCTTTAGGGATGGATGAGTTTTTGCCCTATGGAAGGGATGTCAAATGTCAGATGTTTTTAAGGGACTGTGGTGTCTAGGACATCACCCTGCCCCCCTAGTACCCTCCCTTCTCATGTAATACACTCAGTGTCATGAAGTTTCTTTTGAGCTCTTTCTGCAAAACGTTCACCAAAACCAGTGGTTAAGAGCATGAGACCATTATCAGCAGAAAGTAAAATATGGTAAATCATCAACCATCACAGTGTTTTTCTAGACCAACTGGAGTTCATCCAGGCACAAAGCGCAGAGTCATCCATTAATTACTTCTCTGGATCTGGGG